TTCTTTTTCTTCTTCTTCTTCTTCTTCTTCTTCTTCTTCTTCTCCTTCTTCTTCTTCTTCTTCTTCTTCTTCTTCTTCTTCTTCGACAAATCTGGAGACTTCGTTGATGAGCTCATGCACACAGACACAGTAATTCTATGACTCTGACGCAGCGTACAGATGGCTGCTCACTGATCTGTATGTGGGCAAGACAATTAATTTCCCCACCTGATACAAAAAGAGTGCTGTTTTTCTTCTTTCTTCTTTTTTGTATTTTCCTCTGAAGCGTGAAAGGCATCGGGCGATCATTGGTTATTTCTCTGCTTGGATACTACCCCTCCCCTCCTCCCACCTAACTTATCATCCAAGTCTTTCCCCATCACTTGTCTGTTCTGACTTTCTATGCAAGTTGCGCTGTGTCTATCCCTGACTCGTTTGGCTTCTGCTAATTTAATCCCTGAGAGAAAGATGTTCAAGGCTTTTTTGTAGATTAGAATGTCCCAGAAACTGTCATGTGCCTCTTCCCAATTGGGTTACTTAATGAGCAACTTACGTGGGTTTCTTTAAGTACTCCAACTTCATTTCTTTTCCTTTCATGAAATTATCAACAGTCCCTTTGGAAACCACACTTCTGCTACTTTTATTCCATTTTCATTGTTTTTAGTAATTGTCCAGCGTTCACAGCCGCATAGAAGGGTTGACCACTCAAAGCTTCTTAGAACACTTGTTTTAGTAATCATTGTGATGTTTCTATTTTACAGGATTGGTTTTACCCTATTGAAATTCTTTGTTTAAAGTTACCAACGGGGAAAATAGCCTAACCGCTATTCCAAACAGGTTGGGGATAACAACAGATTTTTCTGTTTAAAAAAGAAATAAAGAATTCTCTGCTCACTTACTTGAAAGGTTCAGCCCACGAGAGACCAACTACAATACTGATGAAGACGACGATGTTGATGGCAATAGACATGATGATGGCATAAGGCACAGACTTGACGGGGTCCTTGCACTCTGCACCAGTAGTCGTGAGCCCGTCAAAACCCACGAAGGCGAAGTAAGCAGTCGGGATAGCCTGGACCACCTACAATGTTACGTTTTCAAAGAAAAAGAAACATTTTTATTAACACTCTTATTTTTCGGATCTAGTAAAGAAATTTTGGAACAGTGCCGTGCGTAATGCATATCGGATGATCGCTAGCGTCTTTCAACAATCACTTCAAGTCAGTTTCGGGGGGTGTCCCAATAAAGACTTCGTCTGATAAAAGACATTTAAATGGTTTCTTGCAATATAGTTTCATTTTGTTTTGTCATTTCTTTAGTAGCGGCTAAAACAGCACCTGGACATGGATGGCTGGTGCCTCTATAAATAAATCATTGATGGTCTGGTTCTTTCGTAGTGTGGGAGCTCCCTTTTTAAATAAAATGACGTTGACTTAAACGATTGTGAAATTAAACGGGCTACGGGCTATGCGGCACGACACTTACACGAAACTAAAAGTTACAACAGTCCTCTCTTCCTCTTCCTCTTCTATCTCGTGGTTGGGGCAACCGTGAGGGCACCACTCACTGCATCTGACAACCAGCTCTCGCCATTTCACTTTGTCCTCTTACAACAGTACATAACGCAAAATGTCGCGTTATCGACAATAATAAAAACGCGTATAAATCACCATAATGATATGCCTTACTTTATTTTTCTTCGAATTTTAAGCGACGGTCATGTTGTCCGTGCGTAAAAGTGCAGCGGTCACCGGCATCCACAGTGTAGCGATAAGGCACTTCACGCGCGGGAGACCAGAGCTCCATTCCCCGGGTGGGGAGAATGTTTATCATAATTTTTTTTTCACTGTCTTTCTACTGGAACGTTGCACCCCACTCAGCCCAGGTTGACCCTGACTTGTGGGGTCGAAAGCTGCCTTTTAAATAAAGAAGTCTTAAACTTTGCTGTTGATCTGCAGTTAGTATTTCGCTTTTAATAAGTCTTTAAAGTTTAACAAAATGAGTGTTTGTTGTTGTTTTGTTTATGGTCTTGTATTTATTTTGTTTTTTGTCTTTTAATTTAGTCTTAAAATTTTTAATTTTTGTTGTTGTTTTGTTGTTGTTTTTTTTGTTGTTGTTGGGGTTGTTTTTTTTTGGGGGGGGTGCTGATTGTTTAAACAATTTTTAAACGGATTACTTACCCCCTGAAGGCCAAATGGAAAAAAACCGTCCACTTTCGTCACATTTGTTGATTGTCCTAAGTAAAAGGAAGAGGTGAGGAAGAGCGTCCAGACGAAGAAGTTGAGCATGTTGAGGCCGTTGTTGAATCGGGCGGACATCTCTACTCCAGCCGCCAGCACCCAGGTGAGGAGCAGACACACCACCATGGCCAGGATGTCAATGTGGGGCAGACCTGGAGGGAGGGGGGGGGGGCAACAAGGAGAAATTGTATTGGTTGAACGACCCTTGCAATGCTGTAATTGTCAATGCTGTTTTTGTTTGCTGGGTTTTTTTGTGGTTTTTTTTTTGGGGGGTGGTTGTTTGTTTGTTTGCTGGTTTTTTCTTTTTTTTTTGGGGGGGGGTCGGGGAGGGGAGGGTGTTGAGAGTTTAATATTCATCTCCAACAGGACCAAGTCAAATGAGAACTTTTGTGTAAAGTGTCTTTTCCAAGGATCAAGCAGAGCCTCCAAAACCCGAACCCTCAATTTCACTTTTATGAGTCCGGTAACCAGACCACGAAGCTACTGATGACACGGGGGGGGGGGGGTGGGGGGGGGGGGGGGCAGCAGGGAACAAGCTAAACAAGATCAGGAATATTTCTTTTTATAAAATTTTAAAAGACACAACGTAGATCATTTTGGAGGCTGGCTGTTTCGACCTTGCCTCTGAGGGGTAACCCCTTCTGAGAGTGATAATCGACGTAAAAACCTTTCATGAACGGGATCCGAACTCATGTATTATTCATTCGACGGCGAAGAGCCTAACTTCGACAAAACAGATGCCGGTTGAGTAAGGTTTGTGGTAGTAGGTAGGTGGGTATGTAGTTAGGTAGGTAGGTAGGCGGGCTATTAGACAGACAGGCAGGCAGGCAGGCAGGCATACACGCGATCAGGCATGTAAGTAGATAGGTACCTGCTTGCCTACCTATCTAACTACCTACCAACCCACCTACCTACCCACTTACCTACCTACCTGCCTGCCTGTCTTTCTGCCTACCTACCAACCTTCCAACCAACTAACCCACCCACCAACAATATGGCATTGCAGTTTTTGCAGTGTGAGGAGAAAGTTTTTGTAGCCGTTTAGAATCATTTTATTGCTCTAGTGCAAGAAGAGCCGTGCTCACAATGTTCAATTAATAGTCATTTTCTGACAGGATGATGCTGTAATTGATTGGCGTAAAACACCTAAAGTGTCACATTTTCGGTGTCGCTTGGTCATTAGATATTGACCGATCATCTTATTCATTGGATATGGGGACTGGGGTGGTGGTGGGGGGCATCGATAAAGAATAAACTATTTAAAGCGTCGCATACGGTGAAAACTGTTTTATGACGTGCAAGATCAGCGTGCCTCTGCACTTTAATAACGAGGTGTCCTCACTTTGTTATAGTTCAACGTCCATAAGTCAATAAAAGGTCAAATTAAATGAGTAAGTGGCCCTCAGCTACGTGTCGACGTCGAATGACGTCGTGAGGCACAAGTCGAACCTTTTGATTTTATCTATAATCTCACACTTAGAGAAAAACCGTTAACGATCAATACACCAACGGCAAAGATAATGTGCAGTGTACGGCCTGAGGCTGTCCGAGATGTGAAATCCGTGGTGGTGTGGGAAAATAATCCTCCATAGCTGGCTCTTGGGATTGTTTTTGGGACTTGTTTTAGTCGTTATTTTTCGGGCGTGGGGGCGTGGGGAGGGGGGTGAGGAGGGGGGTGAGGAGGGGGGTGAGGAGGTCTTGAACGTTGAACGAAACAATCTATGAAAAGCTGTTTAGCTGTAGTTGAGGTAAATGGTCCAACAAATCTGTGGCTATCATGTTTAACTACTGTGTTGGTAACCCTGGTTAAAAATACCCAGCTAAGTATTTTAAAATTGTTCACTGTGACATATTTTTTTCTCTCTTAGCTCGACTAGGTCCTATCGGAGACGGACATTTAATTTGAAGGTCCTGCCTCTTAAATGATTATACAGTGGTGATGAAGGCTTTTAACCCATTCCAAAAAACCCAACTCACAAACAAACTGGGACGAATCAGCAAATTCAGTTCTTTCCTTGATGAGTGATGAAAGCTTATCACACCACAACACTTACTAATTTATCAAAATTAGCTTACTATAACACTATTTAGGGTGGTAGCTGAAAAGCTTTGAAAGTTACGAGTTTCTCAAAATCAAGCAGCAAAATAGATAATGAAACGAAAGAAATTCGAGCACGTAACACGTATTCTTAAAAAACTATATTGGCTGCCAGTAAAACAAATGATCAAATACAAAACTGCCACTCTCTTTTAAAAATGTCATAATGATGCTGCACCTATACAATGTGTAAAACAATACAATTTCTGGAGTTATAATTTTATCGACTTAGAGCTCTAAGATCAGCCACCGACAAATTAATCCTTAGAAAAAATCCTAGTCCCGCATCCCCGCCCCCCAAC